CACTTCCCTTTTTCAAGCTGCAACTCTGAAAAGGTCTTCATTTTAAATCAATACCTACCCTCCTTTTGGCCTTCACATCCCTGTTTGTTCATTTACAGCTAGAAGACCTCCTACATGGCAACTCGTCAATTAAATTTATAATTCGATCACGGGATGCAGCGCGGAGAGCGTATTGCTCCTTCTTTTCTTCTGCACACAGTGCTACTTTTTGTTCTCTACGAAATAAAGCAAAACTTCAGATAGACGAAGCTTAGAATAAATATTTGCTAGATTGGCTAGGCTCTATCACTAGTCCGGCCCGTTTTGGTCTGAACTTAGATCTCTAGGCCTTACTAAATCTAAATCTTCCGCTACTTCCCTCAGCATCTCTCTCGACCACCTTAATATTTTCTTTATCTCTTTACTATCACAATTTCCCACATCTCCACCGATCTCATCAATTATTCTGCCCCTTCCAAAGCCTTTCCTAGTCTCACTCCTTTCTTTCTCTCTTTCTCTCTCTGCTTTCTTCCGATTTTTGACTCCAACTCCTTCATATAATGTGCTAGATGCCTTGCACAAAGCTCTCTCCAAATCCACATCTAACTCTATTGTACCTGACGGTATTAACTGTCGTCTAATTATGCTTACAATTAGTTTGCCTATTTCCTTTCCTATTATCCTTTAACTTATTTAATCTTTCCTTATATTCCCCCACTTTCCCATCCGTCTGGAAGTTATCCAACATGATCCCACTTCTCAAACTAAAAAATCTTCTCCTTCTGATTTTTTATCCATCCTTTCTCCAATCTTTGTTTTTTCTCTGAAGTCCTTGAGCGTAACGTATATGACCAATTCTCCTCTTTCCTTAATAACTCGCAACTCATCGATCTTTTTCAAACTGGCTTTTGGAGAGGCCACAATACGCAGTTTGCACTAGTAAAGGTGACCGATGATGTCAGGTGGACCATCGAAAAAAATGATCATCCTACTTGTCCCTTTTAACACTTGCTTCTTTGTAAAATGTCATCGTATTTTTCAAGCTGTTCTATCTTGATTCGGATCCTACTTGTCTAGGAGATTTCAGAGTGTGCGAGGCCTCGATGGTATCTTCTCATCGTGGGCATTTGTTGAAGCAGGTGTTCATCAAGGTTCCATCCTTGGGCCCCTGCTGTTCTCTTTCTTCATTAATGACTTACAGCTCTCTATTAAATACTGCAAACATATCCTTTACGCCAATGACTTTCAGATCTATATTTATTATCTTTAGGATCTTGAATAGGTGGTGAGTAAGGTTAGGGAAGACATTATTGCTATCGAGTCTTGGACTGCTAATAACTCTCTAAGGCTTAATCCGAATAAAACAAAAGCTATACTCATGGCAGATATCTCAGTAACATTGTCACTTCTCATGAAGTAAAACTTAAAACAATTTAATAGAAATTGAGACTCAAGTGAAATAAATCAAATACAATATAGTTGCCTTAAGAGTCAGACATAAGGCATTAACATATAATTTTAATTTATTCGTATATTAATTATAATTTAAGTAATAATTAATTTAAGTAGTAAGTAATTAATTTAATTTATTTGTATAATTGTAATTTATTTAATTAATTGGCTAACAAACGTTTCGATCCATGCTTAGAATCTTTTTCAATGTAAAATATAATGAGTCCGATGAATTGATGATCAAATTTTTGTACAATCCAAAACGCAATATTCCAACAAGTATCATTGAGCTTCCAGGATTACTAAATGAACAATATTAAAAGGTTAAAAAACTTGAATTAAACTTATATGATAATCGTTGTTGGACACATTATTAGAAATGGTAACTATTTGCGAGTTAGAAGTCGTCTAACAATATCTATTATAAAACATTATCGCGAAGACATGAAAATAAAATATTGAAGAACACAAGCGGATCTCTTTTCCTGGGCGCCTGTAGCTACAGACGTTACTCAGGGCTCAGTCCTTGGCCCTCTTTTATTTAACACTTTTATTAATAATCTTCTAGCCTCTGTCAGCCATTGCAAATGTATGCTTTACGCTGATAACTTGCAAATATATATTCACTTCTCTTCCAATGAGCTCGTAGCTCTGGATAAGATAAGGAGGAGGGATATCGCTGCAATCGTGCTCCAGAAATTGTCTAAACGGGAACAAAATCAAGGTAATGTTTTTGGGAAGAGCGAGGTTTATGAATCGGATAGTTGTTCGGGACCTCCCGCTTATGTTAAATGGCTCTTTCATCGAGTTTGTCAGCTCTGTCATCGGTTGGTTTCACGATAAGTACTTTAAGTTGTGCTGATCAGAGAACGGTGTCTGCTAAGGTGAATGGCGTTCTCTAAAGGCTCAAACATTATGAATAGCCTCGTCATCCCGCTAAATTCGGTTTGTGTCCTCTTTAATCTTTCGATTTTCGACTACTATGTGGCTTTCTTTACGGCATGACCTGTTAACAGAGACTCAGGCTAAGATGGTCGATGAATATTTATATGCGCTTCATTTTTAACCGCAGAGTTGATCATATTTCACACTTTTATGATAAATTCGGCTCTCTGCGCCGAAGAACACTCGTTACATGCTTTCATCTATATTACTTTACATTTCTTACATCTCTTCTTTCTTATATTCCTTCTTCGTACCAATTCTAATCCCCGATTTTCTCGTTCCTTTCCTTTGGATTTATGTATCTTATCTTGCAGGATCTCTACCTACCAACACTTATTTATCTCTGTTGGTGCCTTCTGATATGAAATTTCCCATTGCCATTAGAACATTTACATCCTTACGAGTTAAAGAACAGGCGGTTCAGTTATCTACTTCAGCATAACGTCTTAAAGTATTACCTACAATCTTTACTCAGCGCCATTTTTCTTTTTCGTTTCTTCCTTTTTCTTTTTACTTTCTTTTCTATTTCTTTTCCTTAAAATATATAAATCTATTTTTTATTCGGGATGTTTTTGTTATTGTAACAATTTTTCTGCTATTCTATTTCTTGTATCAATTTTATCATTCATTTCATGTGTTCACAAATTTGATTCTGTACTTTTATCTGTGTTATTGTTTGCTCTTAAGCCACGTACAGACTTATATCAGAACGTCGTTCGCGAACGTCATCGCGAAGAAGATGGCGCGCAATATGAATGGTGTCTCGAATACTATCACGAACATCACCGTATAAAACCGCGTACAGACTTGTAACAGAACGCCATCGCAAATGTCGTGAACAAGACATGTGCAGTGTGGACGGTATATCGAACACTGCCACGAACATCACCGCGTAAACATAACGGCTCGATCGACTAAAAGTTTTTGCTACATCAAAAAAATATTCGTAATTAATCGCGTACAGACTTGTATCAAGAATGTCGCCGCGAACGTTGCCGCGAACAAGACAGCGCCAATGTGAACATTGTCTCGATTGTTTCGAACGTCGCGAACATCGAGCCCTCCTGCCAAGGCCACAAAGAATCAATTTTTCCGAGAATTTTTCATCACCGAACAAATCATCGCAGTATACTATGGTATAATTTATTTATATAGTAAACATACTTAAGTCTATGTCCGGACACTTACACAAAATTTATTATTATTAATCTCAATTTTTTATTACTGTATTGTAATTTAATTGCATTTAAAAATTACAATTAAATTGCAATATTACGTTTTAAAAAACATATTTAAGACCATTATTAACTTAAATAAATGAAATGTTATGTAAAGTCCGGACATAGGTACATGCTACATGTCCAGTCACTGGGAATGGACAGTACCTATGTCCGGACATTTACACAAAACTTTATTTATTTAAATTAATATTAATCTCAAATGCTTTTTACCTTTTACCAAAGACCAATTTGAATTAATTATCTTTTGTCATTAAACATCTATTTACATTAATATTTCCCGTCAGCATACTAATTTTTAATTATGGTCGGACACTGAAATAATTACGTCCCAGTGTCCGACCGGCTGTCCGGCCACTAGTACATTTTCACATTTTATTATTTATTTAAATATATTAATTAATAATTGTTATAAGTGGGTTCAAATAATTTTTCCCTGCTTAAGGGAATGCTGGATCGACGGCCGAACTTGATCGTGGTCAATAATAAAGACTTTTTTAAATTCCAAATCTGGTAATGGTGACATCTTTTATACATTTCTTATAGTTATTATATGTATTGGGTCATCTAAAAAGTATTCGCGGTACTTTGTCACTAGATATATGACCATCAACACACATCTACTGACAAAAAACCGCGGATACTTTTTAGATGACCCAATATATCATTGTATCTCGCTCAAATGCATTCATCCTTATCTAGCATATTGCAATCTCTTAGAAGATACGCCATCTCTTAAAAGATCGAACATCTACTGCTAAACACAATTATTGCTTTGTTTACCATTCCGTGTCTTCGCTCAACGTTCGTATATACGTCATTTGCAGATCGATATAAATCTTTCTTTTGAAGCTTAGTTTCATAAATTCAATATTGTTTGTGAATATAATGCGCTGAGTGCTGCACTATCGTTTGGTCCATACGAGCTACATAAAACTTTTGTATTAAGAAAACATCTATGTCAGGTGACAGCTCTACGAGTTGAAAAAAATGTAAGTTTTTAACTTTTTTTCCGATTTTAGTATAAAATCTATTGCAGCACTTCCAAATTTTACGTTTACTTTAATCCAATAAAAGGATTTTTTATTTCGTTTAATAAATTTGGAGATGTATATCGCTCTGCAAAATCCCAACAATTTAGCCACTTCAGCATTCCCGTAAGGGAATCTTGAGTTTTCAAATGAATACAAATATGTATCAAATACAATAAAGAACGCCGAGATCGGTTAAATTTTGGATGTTACAATTAATTTCACTTCAGCATTCCCTTAATTAATCTGCTACTATAAGTCTGGTTTTGAAAGATTTTCAAAATTAGTATTATAAGTATTGAAATATCTGTAAATGATGATTTTACATCCTCTTCTTCTTGAATTACTTTTTCAGGCACCGTAAAGCCATTCAGATTAATTTTTCACACGGACAGCATCGAGGGACCCAGCGATATTGGAAATAGAGGCTTCTGTCTTAATTATGTGCAACAACCATGCACGACTAAATTAAGATAAATGTCATTTAGATAAGTATAATTAAATGACTAAAGCGTAAGTTTCGGAATTAATTTTTATTTCAAAAACTTTGACACATATTTTTTGTTATCATGTCAATATATAAGAATTTACTTAAAAAGCAACTGATAAATAATAATTTAATATAAATGCCGTTATGTGTAAATCAAAAAATACGCGAATCTTTCTCGCTAAATATTCTTTTATATTCTTATTATTTACATTTCTGCACATTAGAAAGAGCAAATCTGAAAAAAGAAACTCACCTTTCCTGACTTTTAGTAATTATTGTGTACGATTATGTAAAATCAATGATGAAATACATTAATCGATAAAACATTGGAAACGGCAAATATTGTCGTAGAAATTATTGTGCTACTATGATTAATTGATCAGTTATGTAGAATAATAGCCGGAATAATAGAATATTACATAGAATAATAGAATATTACATTTATAATAGTCACAACTCTGATTGATGATTGATTAAAGGAAAAGAGGAAATATAATATTCTTAGATCAATACTATAAATGTGTACATTTGTACATTTTATAAAAATGGTATCAACTTTCTTCATCTCTTAAAAAGTAAACTCCAATGTAGAATAATGAAACGCATTCATACGCGCAATATATATGTATATATATATATATATTTATATATACATATAAAATGAAATGATATATAATCTATGATATATAATCTCGACCCATCAACATGAGAAAATACTGATACCGAGATTTAGTCGTGATAGAAGTAACTGATAAAATATTCTTATTTGCTCGAATGAATCATTACTAATTACTGAATTAATGTAATACTCACATTCTTCTCATCAGTTCATTATCACTGATATCTAAGGTGATTTTTAATCCGTCGGGTTGTTCGACGATTCCGCCCGCTGAAGGTTCACCCTCGCTTAAATAAGCCGCTTTTTCCAGCAGTTGACAGATCTGCATGTTTATATTAGGTGTACAAATAAGTTTTAAAGCGTTTTTTGTGTAATGTATAATTTAAACTTAGAATTCAAATATTTTCGCGCTCTTTTGATATGTAATGGCGCTTAATGTGTACTATTAAAAAACAATTGATTTCACAAAATTGGAAACTTCAAAATTAAATGGTTTTAAAATGGCGAGCGACAAGCAATTTATTCGACACTGCATTCGATACGAATTTCATCAAGGAAAAAGCGCTGCTAAAGCATGTGAATCAATTTGTTCTGTTTTTGGAGTCAATGTTGTATCCAAAAGTACGTGTGTTTTGGTTTAGGTGATTTAAAGAGGATGATTTTGATGTTAGCGATAAAGAACGTAGTGGTGCTCCTCAGAAGGTTACAAACAATGAATTGCAAGCATTACTCGATCAAAACTCATGTCAAACACAAAACGAACTTGCATAGCAACTTGGAATAACTCAACAAGATATTTCAATTCGTTTACGGCAGATGGGAAAGATTCTGAAGGAAGGAAAGTGGCGCATGCATTAAGTGAAAAAAACAAAAATGATCGTCTTGAGAAGTGTTTGAATCTATACAATAAACAGCATAAAAAATTTTTCTTGTGGAAAATCATGACTGGTGATGAAAAGTGGATTTTTTACGATAATCCTAAAAAGAGAAAACATTATGTGGATCCAGAACAATCCACTATATCAACACCAAAACGCAACATCCACAGCAGCAAAGTTATGCTATGCATCTGGTGGGACATGAAGGGTGTGCTATATTATGAACTGCTCCATCCGAATGAAACGATTAACAGTGATCATTACAGACAACAATTGATCCGTTTAAATCAAGAAATCGAACGAAATCGTCCATTTACTGGCAAAGGAAAACATCCTGTGAAATTGCTTCATGACAACGCTAGACCTCATGTTGGTAAACCTGTAAAAGAAACGTTGCTAGCTCTTGGTTGGGAAATTCTGCCGCACCCGGCGTATAGCCCAGACATAGCCCCTTCTGATTATCATTTATTCCGGTCAATGCAAAACGCCTTGTCCGGTGTACACTTTCGAGCATTTGAAGAAGTTTGAAAATGGGTGGATAATTTTATCGCATCGAAAGACGAAACCTTCTTCGCTTCTGGTATTCGCAAGCTGCCCGAAAGATGACTAAAGGTCATAGATAATGATGGAGATTATTTTGATAATTAAGTGTGTTTTCGTTTCTAAATAAATAAATATTAAATTTCATTAAAAATTTATTTGTACACCTAATATGAATATGCAGCATATTCAATCAAAGTATCGATGTCATCCCTTTTTGCAATGATTGACACTAGCACAGACTGATTGACGAATAGAGTGACAGACTCGACAAGCAGACTGATTGACCGCGGGCGTTGTACGAGATTTTATATAGTAAAGATATTCGTGAAATATGATATCATTTCGAGAAAAAGAACAATGCCTCAATCAAAAGTTTACGCCTCAGTCGAAAACTATATCACGCGTTTGAATGATTCCACGAATAAATTTCAGCATTTATCAGTTACAATTAGATTATTAGATTTTTTCGTCATAATCAATATATTAGCGGCAAAAAGTATAATGCCTCGAATAAAAGCATATGCCTCAGCTAAAAAGTATATGAGAAGACATAGCTCGAAAGATTCCACCTCAGCATTTTATTGCTTGCAGTGCTTCATATTGAAGCGCAATTAAACATATATCTATTCAGCTATCGGATTAATATTGAACAGTTATCAGACTGATATTTAACAACTGTAAACAGCTATCAGACGGATATTTAACAGCTATTAGACTGTTATCCATTTTCAACATCTGTTTATATTTACTTAAATACGGGTAAGGATAACAGAAATAAAAACATATTAATGCGATAATATACATTTTATTTAAAATCTTACAATTCTTCCTGGCGTCGTCCATCAGTTAAACCATCAGTTAAATATTTTAAATACATTTTGTAAAGCACAATTCTTTGCATGTTTTCACATCGTATAGTATTACAATTATCCAGATTAGTTAAAGATTCCATGTCTTCGTAAACTGCATCCAAGATCTCGATGTACATTCTCATCGTCCAGAAGCAAGTTCCACAACCACGTTCGTTTCTCGCATCTCTTGACGTACACGATAGAATATCATTTTCAAATACGGCTATCGTGATCAGGCGTTTCAGGCCACGCTGTGACCATCCCGCCCTCCCATCGTAATCCATGGTGATAAGCACTTAACCAGGAAGGACAAGACCTGTTGGATCTTGTCAAAAATTTTCATTCGTAAAAATTTTCACTCGTAAAAATGTAATGCGTAAGAATGATCTCCTATTTTAGCACTTTACTTCTTTGACGATAAATCTTTTTTCGACGATGAATCCTTGCAGATCTACGTTGGTATGACTATGACGAGCAATTCTTCAAGACTGTGCTTTAAATACTTGCTGATCTTACAATTTACATAATCTTGTCCACTACGTTGGACAACGGACAGTCGATTACACAATCGTGTATGATGAGGCAATAGGCGGTAGTATTCACATGGCAGACACATTCTCCTTGCAGTTAAATTCTATGCGTACATCCACAATGGTGCTCTTGATGAATTCGTTTTGTCACGAGCAATCAATGATCACAAAAGACCTTCCTCGATAAACGAGAGCATATTGAGCAGCATTTCAAAGCAGTTGATTCTATAATATGCTTTACGAAACGCGCATACATATCAAATAGGATAATATATCTCTTTTTGTCAAAATCTAGATTTAAATTGTCGTACGGATAAAATTCTGAATTTTTACGTTACAAATTATAATCGTCGAACACGCTAACATTTTATGACATGACATTCTTTCGCCTGGTTTACAGAGCAAAGATAACGTATCGCAGCTTCTCAAGTTGAATCATCGTTTTGGCGGCCCATGAATGCTTGGTCGTATTTTGTAACAGAGGATACTTGTACAGATTCCACGAAAACTCATGCTCAGATAACGATCGTTTTCCAATGCTCGCAGCATTAATAATTTATTGATCTCGTTTAATGTAACGTAAGGCATCCGCCACTGCACTTTAAATAATTCAATCTCAAGCTCGTCGCAGGATTTTCCACTAAGCAATTGTAATCGTTGCACGCTCGTCATATCAAAATCAATTCATGGCGAGCGTTGACAACCACGCATTTGTAATCCTCGCAAAAACCCAACAGCATGTTGAACGACACGCAAATATTAAAGTGTCCTTCCTCCGTGTCGGATCTAGAGTTCCATCCTGCGTTCAGCACAATCAAAGCTTTATCGTATATTGACACAAAGTTCTTGATGGTACTGGTAATTCCAACGTTTCTGTTGCAGTTAATCTCCATATCATTGAATTCACATCGAATTTCATCAAACATTGACATCTGGTCATTTTTTTTCTTCATCGTCAATCTTCTTTCAACGTAGAGAAAACTGTTGTACGGTAACAAATCCTGTTGATGTATGGATATCTTCTATGTCCAAACGTAGTGTTGGCGTAAAACGGATTGTACGTGTGAATCTCAATCTTGACGATGCGGTCGTCAAGGATCGGCTCACCGATAATATTCAGGATATCAGCCATTTCATACGATGAAACCTAACTCTAAAAATGCAACATTAGATGTAGTGAATTTTTTTCCAGGTCTTTCCAGTAAAAGATGTATTTCTCGTCTGTTTCGGCTGTTCGTTCAACACAAGCATCTCACGTTAGCAATGTCGTACATGTAATCTAATAGTGATTTCTTCTTTGCGAAAATCAAACAAATCGTCTTGGCCCACCACGCGAATTATCAGACCCGTAATGCTCCGTACAACGATCGGAAGGTAAATGATCTGCGTCTTTCCGATATCTTATATCCTGGCGGCACGGTGAAAACTCGTGTATCGTGTGCATCTGTCGTTGTTGTACGCACTCACGGTCACGTTGCACTCAATATGATATTCACGTTGATAATATTTATCGGCACGTCCGATTCATGCCACTGTCGCGGTTCCAACACGCGATTCGACGAAAATCCCAACAGAGTCAATGTTGTGAGATTTTTGATTGAAATTTATATGCGCCAATAGGCGCATTTGATCTCGCTTCTCATCATATTATTGTTGGCGCGAATAAAGAAACAGAGAACTCTTCCTCCTTGCGCATCGCTTCGTGAGAACGTAAAATTTCACGCTTCAGATACCGTTTTATACCGCACAGTTCATATGATCCTTCGGGAATGATAAATTCCTCGTTGCCATAATAAAACTTGTTGTTTGTTGAATTTACATTGACTAGAGTATAAAACGTTTCAAAGTCTATAACCGAGCTTGTAATCAGATCGCCGTCGCTGGATCTCGATCTACCGCTGGAAAGTAGCTCACGGCGAGCACTAAGTTAAATGGCGCATGTCGATCCTTAAATTGTTTGTCAACCATTCATAGAAACTGTAGACAAAGCTGCCCGCAATTGTTCTGACTGTAACGTTGATGAGGCGTGCGATTGTGCTCGATTACATTGTTTGCCAGATACTGTTCGAGTTTCTTCGGTGATCGAAGATTGCTGAAACTGTTAAAATACATGATTCCCTCTTTTTGCATACGCTACCCAATGCGTATCAGATGCCTCGGCATTTTTAACGTTACATCGAAGTTTTTTTTCCTGCGCGTGATACCTTGTCCGCGCTTGTAGAGAGCGAGATAAACGCCGCAGCCTTTCATGACGCGATTATGATGTTGCAGCTGACGCTGCGCCGCTTTATTATCGTTTACGGACTTCCACCGCGCCGCCGATGATCCGAAATGCCGAGCAGCGGTAGAACAGACAGGGTGCCGCCGCGTTTCGCCGTCGGAAGTATTCACTTATTCTTCTTTTTCCTTGTTTTCAAATCCATACCAATCTTCGTTTTGGCTTTCATAGCTGCCCAAACTGTTGAGACTCTCTCTCCAAGAGTTGAATCTCTCGCGATATGCGTTTCCGCGACTTCTCGGCAAGTATATTATCAGCCGCATGTTGTTTAGTGAGATTACTACACTATATCATGATTGCGACACGCAGCATCCAATGAATTAATTCCTTGATCACTTCTAGCCAATCGCTTCTCCAATCGTGTTTCTGGACTACAAAACTGATATCCGGAAATATATAGTTTGAAAGGAAGCGCATTTATCGCATGATTTAACAAGCTTCTCAACGACATTCGCTGCAATTCTTTATCAGAGGCGTCGGACTATCGATATGGGTTTGATGACTCGATAAGTTGTAATGCTTCCGGTATCATTATGATCTCTGACTCTGCTCGCATATGTTCTGGTAATCTGTCCCACAACAGACCTATGCAATTTTCAAACTCTCGCAGTAATACAATTTTCGGTATGTATTCCAATTCTTTGGAAGTTAAACTGTACAGATCATCCGACACGACGAGAAACATTTTGATTATTGATCGATTTCGCTCTACGCAGCAAATTTACTGACACTGCAATTTGCGATATTAGATTACATTAATGTCATCACCAGATGTCTCTAAAAATCTTTTGTTATAAAATCTGATGTTTGCATTTTTTATGTCATTGATCGGAACTGATCCTATAAATATCCGCGAGGATTTTTGCGGAAAGTCTGTGTAAAGTGGCTAACCGTAGTCGCTCCCGCATTTAATTAGCAATCGGTAACTCTTCTGCAATGTGCTGAAACTCGCATTAATATTTCTTGCCCAATAATGATAATAAGGGATAAGGATTATATTAACGAGAAACGTGATAATTATATAATATATTATCAAAGAGTTATACGCTTAAGTACTGGGACGAATGAGTAATAGATTTCTTCTATCATAGACACCTAAGGATGAGTACATAGAGATCTAAGGAACATCCAAGTCCCAAGAGGGATTCCCATAACATTGTGGATTCATACATTTAATCGTAAGTATTTCATTTATACTTGTTTGTGAAAAATTTTTCTCTATAGATGGCTTATTTGTTTGTTCTTCTCTATTATAGCGCGTCTTCGCATACAATTTGAGAGAGAACAACATTCGTATTGGAGCGGAGAAGATATTAAAATGTGATAAAATATATATGTAAAAATAAATAAATATGGGTCAACCTGGATTAACTCTGTGTTCAAAATTATTTATTCTCTCTACCATTCCTTTTTATCTCTGTGGCATCATATTACGCGCGATCGACCATTGAGCTCTCTAAAATAATATAATTTGGTAGAATAAAAAATATTTCATGAATAATCACATTGACGCTGAAGAGAAGACTATGTAAGAAGAAGATGGCGACGCATAAGAAATGGTAAGTATAGCATGATAAATATAATGCGCGACGACGAATCGCGCTCAGCGGCCATTGACTCGCGTTATCACCGCGACGCGGATGCAAGTTTCCGCACATTCGCAATTTCCGGCTACGTAATTTCCGGCTACGTAATTTCCTGCACCCGGGACATTCTCGTCCCCCCCGCGTCGTAACATCATCCCCGCGACATTACTCACTGTCATCCCCCGCATACCCTCGTGATATCATCCCCTCGTCTAGTGACGTCACCTCCTGTGACGTTATCCATCTCCCCCCCGTGACGTCACTCCCTCGCCTAGTGATATCATCTCCTGTGACATCATTCACTTCCTCCCTTCGTTAATTAATTTTTTAGCCTATTGCTAATTAATTTTTACGGCACTAACGTAGACTTAACGCGGTGCACTCCCGCACACTCTTTACACACAAACACTTACAGCACACTACACTGATTCACCTCACGATAGTTTAAAACAATGACATTAAGAAGAAAATATGAGAGAAAAAAGAAAAAAAAATATAGAATGGATTCGATATGGATTAATTATTGATCTTTAATAATTGCTATCGTTACACAGAAGATGACGGGTAATTTACACAAAAAGTACTTGTCGCTCTCGGTAAATGAACAAAAGAACAATCGAAAAATGAATTTAACACTGAAAATTTTATTTTTAACGCAAGGAAAAAATTATATTTAACAACGTCAATTATTATTTTTCGCGAGAAAAAACTTCACGGAATGCGCGACTTATAGTTTTCTTTCAGTTAGTGAAATGCTCTCTCGATTTTTACAATTGCGTGCTCTAGAAATTATAATATGACTAATGAAAACGAAATGAAGTGCCCGTGAAAAATTCACGTTTATATACTTCTCGGAGTGTCTTTTCGCTAACTAACGGAATTGCCCAACCATGGCCCGCGTTTCATATACCAACATTGTTTAAAGAATATTCTAGAAAATTCTCTGTCGAATCGTTAACATTGTTATACTAGTAATACTAATTTCTAGTATAATCTATTTATTTTGCGTCATGTTGTAAATTGCAGCAGCGGTCCCGGCACTAACTCCTTGTTTTAATTAACGTTTTTATGTAATGCAAGTATCTTTTCATCGCCGATCTTCAAGCACATTGTAATTGCTCATTTAACTTTGCTATTTGCACATTGTATTTCTGGCACCCTTCGCGTCAGAATTTTGTCAGGATTTCCTAATGATGGTCTCTTTAGGTCTCCGACAAAATTATCATCGTGATATTACAATTGCTGGTCAATCAATTATCATTTTCAAATTACAGCTATTTTTTGCGATTGGGTGGCAGACACGGTGTACACACCCATATTTAGTCGGATGCATTTTTAAGATGCATTTTGTTAAAAACGCTGTTTATTTTAATTTATCTGCTTTTTATTTATTAACTAGGGGGTCTTTATTAGGTTTGTAATTACCGCAGGCGCGTTTGGGCTGATGGTTTTAGTATTGCGATCACGCGGTGATCGCGTTACATTGCACCTTCGATTTTGCAGCTTACGTCGCATCGAACGTATCGTTGCTATAGCAACGATTTCGACTTTGCGACCGGCATCGAGATTATCGTTGTTATAGCAACGATACCCGTGTCGTGGCTAATGATGTCCGTCATTATTAATTTTTTATTACGGTGGACGTTACATACATTACGTGTAATTTCGTCGTAATTATCTTTTAATGTTAATCTTATGATTTCACGATTACATAATTTACAGGCAGTTTTAATTCAATTTTTTTAATTAAATATTGTGCACATTTGTTGACGTTATCAGTCAAAGATTCTAAATGTTTCAAATGCACGTTTACATATTTTACAACACTTTGCAATCTGAGGAAGGTAATTTCCTGCATTACAATTACCATTGCGTAGATTTTTCTTTGTTTCTTCGTTGGTAGTATTGTATCCGATGTTCTTTCTTTTTCCCGAAGATCTCCGCTGTTATTTCTCATAGTGAAATTCCTCTTCATTTTCTTAATATGTCAACAATATTGATTTTATAAGATGTAATAAAATTGATGAGGATATTTCTTATGACAATAAAATTTGATTTCACAGCTCTGTTATCACCGCTTAAATACTCCTTCATGAGTCCCATGTTGTCTACAAACTGTTGCCAGCAATCTGCATCGAAATAAATTCCATCCGCATTATTTTCAGTTAATTTCACAAGAGGCTTGAAGATTCCTTCGTTTGTTCTTTGTAACCCCACTTTGTAACTATCTTCGTATGAGAGTTGTTAAATCCATACGTTGTCGATAACATCATGTGAAAAGTCGATCAAGCGTTTTTTCCCACGTCCTCATCGTTGCGGGAATTGAGATCGATTCTTGATAAAATCGCAGATCCTCATCGTCTTCTCCGAAATATTAGCGTCCTTTGCTCAGCCATTCTTCTTCTGCGTAATATTATACGATACAAATAATCCAAAATGGATGAAAATAAAGAAGCACAACACTTGTTTGCTCACGAAGAAGTCACTTCGACGAGACTCGAATGAAGCAACATACCACTATGTGAAGCAATTTATGCTTATATACTTTTCGAAAATTAACAAAAAATATCTCTAGAATTTAGTAAATAATTTCTAAAAGTATTTAGAAGTATTCTATTAGGAGTTTGCATTAAAAGCCGCTGTTTTTTCTTTATATTTGAGCACTTATTTCAATAACAAAATATATGAATATTTCAATCAAAGTATTTTCCCTCGGAAGCTATGACATTTTGCCACTTTTCAGGCAGAAGTTGAATTCCACGACGAAAGAATAGTCTGTCTTTTGAGTCAATCCATTCAGTAACTCAATTTTCGACTTCGCTATAATTATGGAAGTGTGTATCTTCTAGAGCATGTTGCATCGATCGGAACAGATGATAATCGCTTGGTGCTAAGTCCGGAGAATACGCTGGGTGCGGGAGAACCTCCAATTCGAGATCTATCAGTGTTTGTTTCACGGCTATAGCAACATGCGGCCGAGCGTTATCATGGAGTAAAATCACCTTTCGATGATTTGATGCAATTGATGGTCGTTTTTGCATCAAATTATCATTCAAACGTTCCAATTGTTGTTGATAACGC